ATATATATATATATATATATATATATATATATATATATATATATATATATATATATTATATCTTGACTTTCTTAGTGATTTTTTGTTTGTACAAAACTATAAAGATGTTTTTCTGCCTTCTGTCTACCTCCAAAGTTCCTACACCCCCATCATGAACTCAGCAAATGTTGTGAAAAGGGACTCCACCAGCAGGAAAAAGTAGACACATGTTATATTTGGAAAACTCTATAGATTTCAATCTATCACCCAAACCCCCTGGGACATTTAAGAGTTTTCTGGTTTCTCTGCCCTGTCACAGTCTCCCCTTCTGTGGTAGGTCTCTTTTCCCACTCATGTTAAGATTTAGAGATGACCCAAAGGATCAGAGTGGACACTTGTCCCCAGCTCAATTAAGCAGAACTTCTCTCTATATAGGTTTTAAAAACTCTTTGCATCTATAGTTCTTTGGAGTACTTAAAAATAACATTTTTCCAGTTGATTCTTTTAGTTTAGTTTACATGTTGTTGTTACAGTAACAAAGATGGCCTTTGCCTTGTTCCATGTGCTAACTGGAACTATAGTTTGTAATTTTTTTTTTGTTCTAATCCTTGTTACAAACTATAGTCCTAGTGCATTCATTTAAAGCCCATGCATTATCCCCCAAAATGACTATACCATAATATATCTGTCATCTATCTAAAAAGTCAGAATTTTTTTCTTCTTACATCTTTTATCTGCCATCTTGGCTAAAAATATGATAATTTAGACTGTAAACTCCTAGGGTAAAAATACTGAATTATCCAAACCACCCAGTTGGGCATGTCAATTCATGCTCATATTGCCATGCATAATATCTAAATGTCATCTTGTAGTATATTGTCACCTCACATACTTTGTAATATAGAATTTTTATAAGCATGACAAATTTGTCATTTTTTCTTTCAGAATTTGCAAGATATTTTTATTTTTTTTCAGTCCTAGTAGAATTAATAGCCAACTTAAAGTATGCTTGGGCTCATGTAAGATTCATTCTTTAAGATAGATTACAAGAAATGGATTTAACATTTGCATTTTAAAAGCTAGTAGATACTATCCAGCTGCTGCCCATTCACACTCCTGTTAATAGTATAGATATTATATAGATTATTATGTAGATATTAATAGTATATATATTATGGATAATCCCTCTCCATAAGATCTTCTAAGTTCTTGATTCAAAAACAAGCTATTATATTTGCCAATTTGGGAGGAGAAATATCTCATCATATCATTATATGAATTTGCATTTATTCGTAATTATTGGTGAGTTTAAATATTTTATGTTTAGTTGATATTCATATATTCTCTTCTGTACACAGTCATGTATCCTTTGTCCAATTTATTATTGAATTTTTTTCATTGATTTGTTGACAATTTTATATAGTAAGAATGTTAGCCCATTGTCTGAATTGTGTTCCTCAAGTTTTTACTGAGATCATAGCTTTCTTTTTTATCTTTTTCTTTCTTTTGTTATTTTTTCAATTCAAAGGAATTTATAATTTTATTCAAAATATTTTCTTTTTATCTTCTGGGTTTTCTGTTTTGCTTAGGAAGATTCACTTTACAAATATCTTAAAAGTTTTAGTAGATAAAATTTACACATCACAAAATCTATTCATTGTACAGGCAAAATTAAATGACTCTTGTAAATCAATAATTTGTGCAACTATCACAACTCAGTCTTATAATGTATCTATCTCTACAAAAGTTTTCCTATTTATTTATAATCCCTACCCCCCATTCTAAGCCTATACCCACTGACCATATTTGTCTTTTGTATTTCATGTGAATGGAATCATAAACTCTTGTGTTGTTTATTCCAGTTGGTACAATGCTTTTAAAATCCATCAGTTTTGTTGCATATATCATCATTTTGTTTCCTTTCATTGTCAAATAGTATTGCATTGTATGGATGCAGTGTATTTTATTTATCCATTTACTAGCTGATGGATATTTGGATTGTTTCCAGCATGGGGCTATTGTGGCTAATGCTGCTCTGAACATGTATACACATATCTTGGTGTGGACACATTTTGATTTTGCTTAGGTAGATTTCAAGGAATAAAGTTACTGGGTCATATGACAAATATGTATTTAACTCTTTAAGAAAGTGACTATTTTCCAAAGTAGTTGCAACATTAACACTCCAGCAAAGTGTAAGTTTTAGAAAGCCTCTTTGTTATTAAATGTAATTATAATAATGGTGATGATAGTAATAGAAATAATAACAAATGCACTATTAATTTTATACTTTCTTTATATTTTCAAGTTTTATTCATCGCAGATCTATTTTCTTGAAATGAATGTGTTTTTAATACATTTTGTCAACAAATTGAAACCACCCATGTATCTTAATACATGATCAGGGTTTTGATTCTGGTCTCAGGAACAAAAACGTATCTATTAAAATAGGTGTATGAAATGTATTAACATCCAATAGCTTTTCATTCCTTATTATGCCTCTTTTAAAACATAAACCTTGAGAATATAACTTCCTCAAAAAAAACCCCCACATTTCAGAGTATTAAGTTTAAAAAGGCAATCTTTTTGCTTTTTGTTTTCTTGTAATTAGTTTAAAGGGAGGAATTTAATATTTAATATTTTTTAAATACTCAAAACCTTGAATAGAGGATGCTTATTAAGAATTTATAGGCCTTCATGAGGAATTAACTTAAATCATTAACAACCTAATGGTGTCTGGAACTACTTTTCCCTACCCCAAATCATTCTCTCCTACTCCATCCATCATTTCTTTCCTTCAACACAGGCAAGATTTTGCTCTTTTTCTTCACACATGCAACAGGTCCACTCCACAAAAGCTGAATCATAGTTTACTGAGCCCATGACTGTAATCTGTGGTCCTCTGGGAACTTAGGCCTTATAAAAACACACAAGAAGAAGAAGTTTCCTTTTCCTGCCTTTAGAAATTGTTGTGAGAGAACATGAAAGCTAAAGGTGCAGGAGGTGCCCTACCATCTCAGCACGTTGTGAATGATGAAGATCATTGGAGAAGCCACTGGCCCATTGACTCAAGCAGCCCTGGAGATGCCCCACCTTGAATCCCCCTGCTATGTATCACAGCAAGTTATGAAAAAACAGAACTAATTAGATTGGATTTCCTGCTATTCTTACCAGAAAACACCTTCACTGAAATAAGAGAGCCATAGATTTTAGTTCTACCTTTCAATTAATTTCACACTGTGGATCTAAAATAAAATGAGACAAGTCATTTGTTCATCAGTGGGAACAAAACCAGAGTAAGGTTACAACCCTGGGATCTAAGAGAACAGATATCAACCAATATCTACTCATCAAATTCCTATAGGAGAATCTGCTTTATACAAATAATTCATAGTATGACTTAAAATATATTTTTTATAAATATATACATTTTAATAATTTTAACAGGCATAAAAATAAAATAAAAGTGGTATCTAACAGTGGAGAAATCATGTCCAAATGGTTATTACTTTGAGATAAACTTCAGAACTGATTTTTTGCTCTTTGATTTGACTTATATTGGAAAATGACTCTTCAGATGGAACACAAGAGCAGAACCCTCCATCTTCTCATCCAATTTAAGTGCCTTTCCCAGAAACTTCTTCATAATAGTATATTAATAGAGTCTGTGGATTTTGATCCATAGATTGATTTGAAAGTTACACAATGTTTTAGGCAAGCACCGTCACCCCAAAAAAGTTTTGATTTATTTTTCTAGCTTGTTCTCTATTAAGTACTTTCCATCAAGTTTGCTTTATTTGTTATAGTCTGTGCTTTGGGGCATTGTCTTTTAAAATTCTGAACCAATTTTTAAATTGACAAGTAAAAATCATTTGCCCCATGGTGCAGTCATCTGTTTGATACATCTGTATGCAGGGAAACGATAACTCCACCTATTTAACAAGTGGAATATCTCATGCACTTATATGAAAATGAAAGGAATTGTTAAATTGTGATGCAGTCCTTCATTTCTCTTTCCTTTCTTTTCCTTAAAACTCTGAAGCAGATGATTTTTCACTCCATGTTTATTTGAGGAAAATGGAATAAAATAATGTGGCACAAAGTGAGTTCAGACCCTCTGGAGGCAGTCAGAGTTGAATATTCAGGGTCCAGAAGAAAATGGAGAGAAGGTCCCCCTGGGGCTCTACTGGAGCTTCCAGGTCAGGGGCAGGGGCTCAGGAAGCAGCAAGAAGGAAATGTTCTGCAGGGTCACTGAACTACAGAGAACCAAGTCCTGAGAATGCACTGTCTATGTGGAAGAAGGAGAGCCAAGCAGGAAGCCTTTTTATGACTTGGAGAGGTTCCATCAGTGTTGTCACCTTCTATTCAGCTCAGGAATCCTGCAGAAGGCAGAGGACAGTGGTATTTCAGTCCTAATTTTGCAAATGGCTTCCTTTCCCCTCTCATGATAGCATTGTAGTACAAAGAGAAAAAAAAATTCTTAAGTCTCCTAATCCAATGCTACTTGCATAGACCTTTTATTATGTGGAAAGAAGATTTAGTGCATACTGCCTGATCAGAAATTTGGACTCAAAGCCTTTCCCCTTATTTCTGTCTCAGGTCTGGTCACCTCTACCTTCTGTTGTAGGGAAAACAAATCTGTCTCTAAGAGAGGATTAAAGGACATTACCTGTTGGCTGAATTTTTTGGCATCCTAGGAAGATAGATACTTAAAGATATGGAGGCAAATCTTCCCCCAGCCTCAATATCCTGAGTCTTAGATATGCCATCTGAGATTTCTCAACACCACAACCCAAACCAGCCAGGGCAGAGGGTGGAGAACAAACTGAGAGTGTGTGACTAGGAAACTCTTGTCACACAAATAGAATACTTAGCAACTCTTCCTTCATTTTCCCCAGGTTCTTGACCCAGTATCTCTAGTTGTTAAACTTTCTTTTATCTCTATAAGCCACAACCCCTTAGGTTTTGATATAGTTACTATAGACTGTTGATTTACAGTTTTCTAGGAAATCTGAAGTCACCTGGGGAAAGAAAAAACTTTATATAAGGTGTCCTGAGAACTAACCCCAGCAAAGCCCTATTTCTTACCCCAGAAAAGTCTATAGAAAGTCTCAGCTACAAACTGGTTACTTACCTTCCTAATTCCTGTAGTAGATGAACATCCCCACCCCAAGGAAGAGAAGACCCAGAGCAAAGATCCCAACTCCACTCAGCATCTTGTTCCATGCAGACTCAGACTGTGGCCCTGAGAAAAGAAGCCAGGTTTAGTGATTTTTGCCCCTAATATATCTCTTAGAGACCATGAGAGACAGAGTTTTGAGACTGGAGGAAGAAGGCTTGACTACATTCTTGGAAATACAGATTTTAAAATCACATTGAACAGCTACAAGATTCATGCACTGAATTCATTAAAATGTCATCACCTTGAAATATTGCCTGATGTAGAAGAGTCTGGGACCCACGGAGGTTACATAGCTAGTCTAGGTTGACAGAGATAATGAAAAGAAAACCTGATATTGGTTCTTCTGGATGTCAGCAAGGCCCCTGCATTGCTTCACTTCTAAGATCTCAATGAACAACCCAAAGCAGGGGCACCAGAAACATGAACCCAGTCCAGAGTCAGGGTCTGGAGTCAGGATAAGAAAGTGACTGTTTTGAAACAACCTGGGCCCATTGTATGAAAATGAAATCCAAGGTGCCATGAGATCAAAGAAACAGATATAGGATCTCACAGAGTGCAATTTATTGTGAGACATAATGATGAAAGTGTGGTCCTTGGCAGCAGCAAGACCAAGTGGATCCCACAGTTTGAGGAAGAAGGAGGGGCATATATCCAAGTTAAGACAAAAGTGACTTCATTCAAGCCAGAATACCTGGTTTGTTTTAAGGTAATATTAGGAACATTCTCATCACCAGGGACCAGTTATAAAGCTCCATATACCATTCTAGCAGTTGTTATTTATTCATTGTTTGCTGGGAAATGAAGCAGGAAAAGCCATCTAGTGATCATGACAGTTTACTCAAGATGGCTGCAGTCATGCCAAGCTAAGTCTACACTTTCACCTCTTATAACCAGCTCTTACAATCTCTCACACACTCTCTTCTTGAGACATGTCCTAATCTGTGAGGGGTTTAATTTTGTGTAGTCAGCACACTTTGAAACCACTTGTCTGACTTATAAGAAGAATCCACAGCAATAACAGAAGCATTTGGGGGGAGGATTATGCAAATAATAATAACACTCATTTTTTTTTTCACCAGGAGTCCCTGAAACCAAACCAACAATTTAATATGTCTTCTACAGAAGGGAGAGGATAAAATTGTTTGGTATGTGTTGGGTTAAGTGCTAATCAGTGCTTAGGAAAGCTTGCAGTTAGATAAGGACTCTAAAAGAATGTGATAATGAGAAAAATGGAAAGTAGGGGTGGGGGGTGGGGGAGCTGGCCACTTCCTTTATCTCCAATCTGTAGGAGAAAATCTAAATAGAGTGATCCTGGTTGAAGAGGATTGTACTCATAAAACATCTGAAAAAATCCTTCTGTGAGTGGCATGCAACCTGTCATGTATATATTCCTCTGCTTGTAGGCATGGCATGTCTCTCCATTGAATCCTAGACCCCCATCTCCAAGGAATGAGTAGTTAATAAAATGTCCAAAACCTCTCTGATGAGTTCTCTAAATTTCTTTCTCTGGAATTGGTAAACAGTATGTGTGGGGCCTTTGCAGCCCTGGGATTGAACAATGTATGACATGAGGTATGTGATACGAGAGATGTACACACAATGTTTTGTCTTGATAACTGCATGGCTTCCAGGGAAAACAGAAAAAGACTGCAATTTCAGCTATGGATGGAAAAATAGATGCTTAATAGGGGCTTATAAAGCTAAATATGTGTCATCCGACAAGACAATACCGTTGGCATCATCTCTCTTAGATAACACAGCAGTGGCAGCTGATGGCTGGTGTAGTGGAGCAGAGCACACACAGTTGGCTAACTGGATGGGGTCTGTAAGTGATTCCTGAAACTAACAGTGAGATGGCATGTTAGACTGGGAGTGGTCTGAGGTATTTCCTTTAGCCCACTAAGGGCATAAGCCATGACCTGTGGAGGTCTAGAGTCCAAGATCAAAAGGGATAGTTACCTATGACCAAAAACCTATAGGTACCTTTTGTACTCATGTTATCCATTGGCTGCTCCAAGTATACCAATAATTTTCAGATATGAGGGTCACTCCGTCTTGTACTTATGAGATCATAGGCACTGGGCTGCCCTTATGCTTTTGTCACCATGTTTTCTAAAAGGCAGGTGATGAAGCAATTTCATAGGTAAAGGGGCCCAACATTTTCCACTATAAGTTGTTGAAAAGGTCACAACATTGTTATAAATATGCATGCCACTTTTTTAGAGTAAGGGCCTGCATTATAGTGGATTGAGGCTGGTGAAATAGTCTCAGCTACCTTCTAGAGATGAAATAGGCCATCTGCCTACTTTTTTTTTTTTTTTGGTGGACCAATTCATTGTGACCAATGAAGCATTTTTTTTAAATTTTAAATATTTTTTTAGTTGTAGATAAATACAATAACTTTATTTTGTCTATTTATTTTTATGTGGTACTAAGGATCAAACCCAATGTTCCACACATGCTAGACAAGTGCTCTATTACTGAGCCACAGTCCCAGCCCAACAAGTAAAGTCTTGATCAGTGACTCCAACTATAATAGGGTATCGCCGTCTATCCTAGTTAGCGATTTATGCTGGGTTCACAAATCTGACTATTCCAATAACTTAAAATGGCAAAGAAAGCATGTAAACACACAAAAGTAACTTTTCAAAATCTGAGACAGCTCTCCAATCTTTGAGGTCCATGGAAAAAGAGAGAGAAAGCCACTGTAATTCTTTATTCTTATATTGGGGACACAAAAGAGGAGGTTCCATGGAACATTCTATCCCCAAAAGGACAAAGGGGTCAGGTTTCAGGGGCTGAGTCTAGCTTAGTGATATCTTGCTGTCAGCAGATTGACTGACATCTAGGAAAGCCACACCCATTTCATGTGCTGTGTGGGGATCATAGAGCAAGGGAAAAGGACACACACATTGCCTGCCCAAAAAGAGGGGCAACGTCTGTTCAGTCCACTTCATGCACTCAGTGCTCATAGTTCACACACATGCGGCCCATGGGGCGCTCAGTTCCTAGTGGCAGCTCCCAACAATAGAGCATTGTAGAAACTCTATTCTACAGGAGTGTGTCTAGTTTCAGCTTCCTTCTAGAGCTGTGACCAAAAACCTAGAGGTACCTTTTGTTTTTGTTGACCAGAGGGCCCAACTTATGCCATCTTCCATACTGTGACATCTAACTGTATTGGCATGATAATACAGAGCATGCACCTGGTCTACCAAATCCTTGCTTTTTCAAATGCTTACTACTGGGGAACATCTAAGTCCTTGTGGCTTCCTTCAATATCGTGGGTCCAAGCATTGAACTAGATGATAAATGAACAACATGGTCTAGGTAAGATAACTGGCCCCATGGTGCCAAGAGATAGAAGGAAAAGGAGACAGACTAGGATTGCACAGAGCACAATCTTTTAGCAGAAGCAGTGTCAAGTAGATCTTATGATTTGTATTAGAAGGAGGGTGTCCATAATGCTCAGGGTGAAAGTAATTTCATTGAAGCTGGAATGCACCTGGTTTATCTTCAGTTAATATCAAAGAGAAAGGGCATATTTCTGGTTCCAGTGTCTGGTTGTAAACCTGCACCTACCACTCTAATGGTTTGTCTATTTATAATTTGCTAGAAAATTATGCAGGAAAAACCAACTAGGATTACTCTGGGGCTATCATGGTGGTACCATTCAAGATGGCTGTGGTCATGTCAAGCTGAATCCACACAGTGACAATAACCTATGATATTATGGAAAGGTTCAAAATACTTACAACATCTCTTTGAACTACTGGGCATAATTGTTTCCCTAGGGCATATATGTGTTTGTAGAAACTATCACAGGACTACTCCCCATGACCTATGTTACCGGAAAGGAGAACATGCAGCAAATGAAATTATGGTATAGGGAGAAGAGAAACCTTATACTCAGAGGTTAGCCAAGTCTCATTCTTGGTGGGTAGGGATTTATAAGTTCAGGAAGCTTCTCACTCACTCCATTCCACTGTGACAGGGCTCGTCAGGCTTGGGTGCTCCACCTGGCAGGTGTAGACCTCTCCACTCTGAGGAACTGTTTCCAGCATCACCAGCATCTGGAAGGTCCAGTCTCCATTCTGGATCAGGCCTGTGGACACGACCCCAGACTGCTCCTCCTGGCCATTCCAGAACCACCTGACTTCAATGTGGCCTGGATAGAAGCCACTCACTGCGCAGACCAGGAGATTGTGGTGCTGTAGGGGCAGAGTCTTTGTGGGATACACTGTCACCTTCGGCTTAACTGAGGGAGAAAATGTGGAGAGAATATGTCAGGAAGGCAGAGCCATTCTCCTTGGTTGGCTGCCTTTCTGTCTCCCTTCAGCTCCAGGCTCAAGTATGGCAGGTCTCCTCAGAGCTGGCCATGGGCCTAACAGTGTCATGTGCCTTGAATTTAATCCTTATAGCAAAAGCCCATTAGTTTGAGAGATTTGGGGAAAATATGCATAGTTTTGTCATAGCTTCAAAAAATATTCATTATTGAATTAAATGTTTACCAGATATATAGGGCATTAATTAAAAGTGTGATTTCTGAACTGCTTGGGTTTAAATCCAGATTTTCTCTCTTTTTTTTTTGTACCAGGGATTGAACCCAGGGACACTTAACCACTGAGCCACATCCCCAGACCCCCACCCCCTTTTATATTTTATTTAGAGACAGGGTCTCACTAAGTTGCTCAGGTCTTTACTAAACTGCTAAGGCTGGCTTTGAGCTCACAATCCTCCTGCCTCAGCCTCCCGAGCTTCTGGGATTACAAGCATATACCACCACACCTGGGTTGGATTTTGCCTCTTACTTGTTGATTTTTTGGGGGGTACATTTCCTTGTGCCTCAGTTCTCCCCTTAAAAGAGGATATTGACACTTTAAGCATTAATGTATCTAAAATATGTAAAATACCTTCAATATGTTAGGTGTTTATTATCCTTGTTTATTTTGAAAAAAATATGACAAAGGTATTTGGATGGAGCCTATCCATGCTACCTTGATGGACTCACCTCTTAAAATACCTCTGAGAGGGCTCCACCCTGAGAAGCAGGGACAGACAAAAGTGATTCTCTTGAGTCCCAAAGAGAGGAAAAACAGCAGGGAAAGTCATTCCTTTTAAAATTTATATATTGACACTCTGAGGATGAACTTCTCTCTTTTGCAAATCAAGCACACCTACTATTGGAATTATTATTTTATTATATGTGGGAACAGAGTGTCTTTTGGGTAGATGCCCAGCACCAAGGAGAGGCAGTATAGATGGCATGGGATTAGATTATTTATAATCTCTCTTTCTAGCTGATGCTTGGGGCCTAGACATTAACATGTGTTAAGTGCCTGAGATAATCCCTGACATAACCAATCTCAATCATGCATTTTTATAAAAGAAGACACCTTGTGGAAATATTTCTCAATACTACAAAATGATAGATTTAAGAATGGTTGGCTAATAATAACATTGGTGCAGAAAAATTCATTAAATAAAAATGTTTAAATTATTAGCATAGAAAACAATAAAAAGAATCAAAATATAAAGCTAGAAATTGAAACAAATGCTAAAGCAAATATCAATGAAGTGTTGATAATCTTCTTGCATAGAGACCCCATCAAACACTGAGAAAAACAATAGGACCCCAGAAGTAATAAACATTAGATAATTATCAGAGCAGACAACAATGGGCCAATAAATGTGAAAAATGTCCAAGAATTTAGAAATAAAAAAATTGAAATTAAAAATATGAAGGTATACATTTTAAACTAAGTATTTGGCAATATGGAAAAAATCTAATGGAGAATGAGAGGTAAATTGCTCTATTATACAAAGAAAACTGTCACTACTTAAGTGCTATTAGCATTACATAAAAATAGTTAACATCAATATGTTAAGGAACCAAATTATAACCTGAAAGCCTATTTCATAATCATTTCATTTATGTAAAAATATCTGTGCTAATAAACAAACAAGTCAAAAATAGGAAGTTTTTACCTAATGGAAACCTCAGAAAGACCAGAGGTGCTTCGGAGGTCTCCGACCCTCTCTCCCCACACACCCCCTCCTCCACCTGCCTGGTGGATTCAGCCCATTACTCACCTCTCCGCTTTGACATTAGGCTAACAAGTGCGTAGTTGTTTCTGCACCTGTCCACAGCGGCGCGGTAATTGTCCAGGATGTCCTTCTGGCTGTTCAAGTACTCAGCTATGGGCTGCCCCAGCTCGCTAACTGCCCGAAATTCCCCCACATCGCTGTCAAAGCGCAGGATTTCCTCCTGGTTAAAGATGTATCTGGTCACATGCCACACCCGCTCTGTCCCATTGAAAAAATGACACTCAGCTTTCATCTGCTGCAGGAATCGTGCTGTGAGGATAGGAAAAATCAGTCTGAGGACTTGCTGGGAGGACACTGACATTAAAGGCAAAAGCAATGTGCTGGGTGGGGAGGAAGATGGTTGAGGGCACCAGGAGACCCATAATTGACTTGCACCTGTCCCCAACCCCCAAGTATCAGCACCCAGGGGTTCATCTTTCATCTGAGACAGAGAACCAGAAGTGGTGGGGTCACACCTCTAATCCCATGCCATCTATAATGCCTCTCCTTGGTGCTGGGCATCCACCTAAAGACACTCTGTTCCCATCTCTCATGCCCATAGCTTTTTACCCTCTCTTTATGAAATACCAACTCTGACATTTTATAAACCCAGATGGTCTGCTGCACCTGGGACTCCAAAGACAGAAAAACAGACAAAGCCCCTCCACCCCTGGAGATTAATTCAGCAGCAGCTATTCAGATATTAGAAATGTCAGAAGAAAATTATAAATTTCTTTTATCAGAGATTAGCAAAAAGATCTAAATGACAATAGGGTTCTGGAAAAGAAATTCTTTTCAAGTAAAAAAAAAAAAATAGATGTGATTTGAACCAGATGAAGAATGTGGCATATGTGTATGTTCTGGGGAAAAGGGAAAGTACCTGTCAGGTAAAGGTAATAATCATGTGAGAAAGCTTGAAAGAACAGATGAGCTTCAGGAAACTGGAAGACACAAGGCACCGAAGCACATAGAGGGAGACCAGGAAGGTAGAAGACAGACTGGAGAAATCATGGGGAACTGCACACTTAAGAGCCTATAGTGCATGTCAGGATTTTAGATTTATGCTAAGCAAAGGCAAAACACTAAAGAGGCTTAAGGAGACTAAAATCAGACTCTAATACAGGTCCACAATCTCTTTTCTGAATTTCCAGATGCAGGGAGCTCAGAAAACAAGATTTTTTTTAATGTGATGCAAAATTCACTTGTCAAACTGACCTGATGAAGTAAAGGTAAAGATGTGTCTCAGAGCTTTAAGAGTCAATCAATCACATGTACTTCTGTAGTTTCAATACATAGAAACACAAATGTAGTATGTATGTACATATGTATACATACAAATGTATATATAATTTTTTGGTTTTTTATATTTAATTGAACTCAGAAAACATTTTAAAACTGTAGTTAAAAGTAAGACAAATGAATGCAATAATCTGATATCATTTATAGTACGGGAATATGGATTAACTGGTTAATTTTGATGAATTTTACTGAAAAATATTTGTAGCAGTCATCAGTATTTATGCCTTATAAAGGAGAGTTGCTGAAAGTTAACAGAGATCAGGAGGACAAAGAACTGATGAAATATTGAAAAACATTGTATAAAGAAAAAATGAAAAAATAAAGATCTTGAACTTGTATTGACCAAATGGATTCAAGAAGAAAGTGGTGAATTGATGCAACTGTGAAGCTTTGGTTTGTTTGCTTTGTAATGAAACAAGCTAAAACAAACCACAAAGAACTGAATTGGAAGAGGAATGTTTAAGTGTCACATAAACAGAATTCTTAGAAATAGCACAATGTAAACTAATGTTTTCCACCTTAACACCATTTATATTTTTTGGCGGGGGGTGGGGGGTGCAGTTTTACCCGGGATGGAACTCAAGGGCACTCGACCCTGAGCCACATCCCCAGCACTGTTTTGTACTTTATTTAGAGACAGGGTCTCACTGAGTTGCTTAGCATCCCCTTTTGCTGATGCTGGCTTTGAACTTGTGTGTATCTTGCTATCCTTGAGCTGTGTGTGTGAGTTATGGGCATTTGAGCAATATGAGGGGACTGGTCTGGCATTGCACTGATTGGGCTGTGCACAGTAAATGTGCCTTTTCTCTCCCACAGTACCTGAGATAGATGTGACTTGCCAAGATGTCAGTCAATCTACTGACCCAAGACATCACAAAGCAAGACTCCACCTTTTGAAACCCTACTATCTCTTGTCTTATTTGGGTGGAATACTCTATTGAATGTTTTTTCCCTAATAAATAGATAGGTTCAGGGTGTGCTGTCTCTCTTGCTCTCTTTCCAGTGCTGTCCAGACGGGAGCTGATCCTTAAGATCGCAGAACCCTCCTTCTTAGAAACTCACATTCTTGTGTTGCATGGTTTCTTTGCTGTTTTCTTGGTTTAATGTTGCAGCCAGCTCTTTTGAACCCAGCTCCTCTCATCAATGCAGGCAGCTGCTGAGACTTGTGGTCCTCTTTCCTTTTCCTCCTGAGCCGCTGGGATTATAGGTATGTGCCACCATCCCGGCACCACTGACATTTTGATTCAGGTAATTTCTCACATGTCTCCTGGTGGGGCCTGGCAGTGAGGTGTTGGATGTAAAACTGTCCCTAGTGAGCATTAGTGGTGTAAAGCATCTGAAAATCCCCTAGTTGAAAAGCTAATGGACATTATGAAGCAGCTTTGAACTAAATGGAAAAATGTCTGATTAAACATAAGCCTTGGCAATGAACAAATTTGTTTGGCTGGAAAAATAACCAAATACTAGAATCACATTTCTAAAACCATTCATAATGCCCAACAAGAGAGTGTTAAAACTATTACAGATTCTAACCAAACTATCCTTGCATGTGATAATGCTTACCTCAAGCAAAATGGGCAGTGACTGAAAAAAGCCCTAATCCAGGAAGTTTGAAAGGCATATTTTATTTCTGCATTATTAGAAGAAAAGAAAACAGACAACCAGAGAGAAATTTTCTAAGTGGTTCAACAGCCACTTTGTATCCATGGCTCAAACTTTTTTTTAAATAGACTGTTGGGCTATGAGAAAATTGTAAAGCACTATTATCTGCAAAACTGCAGTATATACTGTATTCCTAAACTTCTTGCAAATATTGAAGTTAGGATTTTTAATCTTCCCAGTATTATACCTGTATTGAAATATTATGACTAAGATACCTTTTTTAAAAAAGTAGGGTGGCATCCCATGTAAATAGAAGGGAGAGCAGTAGAGCAAGCTGAGGAAAGGGACTGACAGGGAGGGAGAGAGGGATGGCAAAAGGGAGGAATGCAGCAGAACAAAACTGACTGAACTATGCTATGTACTCATATGACTATACCACAGTGAATTTCACCTCTATGTATGTCTATAAAGCACTAATTTTTTAAAAAATGTAAATAAATAGAAGGAAGATCAGTAGAGAAGAGGATCAGGGGAGGGAGGAGAGGACATAAAGGGGAAGTACTGAGGACTGCAGTGGAGCAAAGTATATTCCATGTATGTATGATTATGTCAAAACTAACCCCATTATTATATATAACTATAATGTGCTACTAAAAATTTAAAATGATACATTTATGCTTTAATGATACTTATTTAGTATTTTAAAAAGAGGAGGCAGGAATAGTTTTTGAACTCTGTTTAATGCAGCTTAAAGAGGCTTAGAATCCACAGCTTTCTGAAAGAAGTCAGTTACTAAGAGTTTATTATGAAGTTAATAAATGAAAAATCAACTTTAACAAATGTTTGTCACAGACTAGGGACTGTGCTTATGATTGCAAATGAACTAGCAGATGAAGATTTTGTCAACTATAATGCCATTTTGAGATATGAGTTTAAGAATACAGACAGAAAACTGAATATCAAGAGGACAAACATTCCTGTTGAAATGTGGAATGGGCAACTTGTGAATGATTCATGAACAGGAAAAAAGGAATCTAAGAATAGAAAGGGTCAAAATGTATGAGCCTATTCAACATCCTATAAATTAATTTGTAATGTCTCAGTTCCCCAAAACTTTCTGAAATATAGTGGAACAGGAACATGACCTCAATAAAAAATATTCTATTAATCTCATGAGGGTTGGGGCTAAGATTTGACTGATCACCTGAGTGACCAGGAGACATGGCCATCAGCTGAAACCTACATACCGGACCAGAACCCTAATGGGGAAGCACGATCTTGCTCAGTATTCCCCAGCCGTGAGGGAAATCCAGCACCATTGGGTCATACATATTCTACCTAATTTTGTACCCTAATAAAAACAAACCCTACCTTAAGCTCTGGCTATTTATCTTGCTCTTGAGATTGCCCATATCCTTCTCTGGGAACGCATATTTTCACCTTTGATTTTCTAATAAAGTTCTTCCTCTCCTTGCTGAAACCTGTTATGTTATTAAGTTCTTTTCTGTGATGTTGTCAAGAGCCTGAAAGGCCTGGGCAAAGGGCTCCTCTACCTCTGGAAGACCCCCTTCTACTCCCATATATTAACATTTAAATGGAAAGAAAACCATATGAATATCATGTATGATAAAAGTTTACAAGATAAAAATCAAAATAAGCCAAAGTAAGCTGCACAAAAAGAAACAAAACTGAGCACTGTTGAGCATAACCTGAGTGGTGGAAGCATGGTAGTGGGGACAGTGAGAGGCACAGGTGGAGTTTCCCAAAAGTGATATGATGAGAACAGGGGACCAGTTAGCTAGTAGCCCCAAACATCCACCATGAAACCAGAGACAATGTGGTGTCTCAGAGAGTTTCCTTATGGACACAAGTGAGTCAATGGAAAGAGTCTTCAAATGGTAACCTGAAGAGTGCTGCTTTCTCTCTTGTGAATCTCTTTCACTGAAATCATGAAATGCCCGACTCAACTTGCTCGTGATGACAATAATGACCCTGGTTTATCTAGGTTTCTGAGCCTAGATATAACATCAGATATAACAGGCATGGTTATTTATTAACTTATATTTAGCTTAATGTGAATCATAAGTTTGAAGATGGCTTCACATTTTCTTAAGAAAAAGTAACTAGAATCGTATTTATCATCTTTATACCATAATCATTGTTGTTTATAGATTGGGATGTGGAAATATTGGTGTGTTTAATTACAGGTCATTGCCCTTTGTCCCACAGAGAGTGTTCTGTAATTAACTGGAAATGGATTGGTTAACATTCTAAAATCCCAAACCCCAATTTCTGAAGCACATCTAACTCTAAGAATTTCAGAAATGGAAATGTGGCTCTGTATATGCTTTGAGACACTGCTGATGACA